ATGAATTTATTTAAAATTTTCTATATATAAAATTTTAAATAAATTTCATAAAAATTTTTTATTTAATACAAAATTATGTGGCGCCAATCAGTTTTAGTTAGTTAGTTTTTTGTATGGGGCGCCAATCATGAAATGGGGCGTTAATCAAAAGAATGCCCTACACAGGGTATGACAACGTTTTATACATAAAACTGATTAGATAAAATTAATTGGTGTCTGTAAAATTTTATTAAACAAAAAATTTTTATCAAATACTTTTTCAATTTTTACATTTTTAATGTAGTAATAATGAGTTATAAAAAGTTTTAGTAAACGAAATTGACTTATTGGAGTCATTTAGCGCCAAAAAACTTACAATTGAAAGATAATGTGGATTTTGTAAAAACAAAAGATTCTCCATGAGAATTAGAAAAAAAGTTGACATTTACTTCTTTCTGCAGTGCAAGTCGTGGCGTAAAAAGCAGAATCTCTTTGCGAATAGCCTCTATTATTATGAAGAAGAACACGACCTGTAACAACAACCCTAAATTGGTAAAACCTTTCTTTTTTTATTTTGAGGAGAGAACAGTATCATACATGATGACTGTGACTCAAATTAAGAAAGTGATTAAGTGGATTAATTACATCCGATTGGAAACATATGATTATATTACAGTGGTGGAAAATAAAATTGAGCCAGTACAAAAATAAAATACAAATTACTGAAAAAACAAAATTTCTTAAAAAATAAGATTAAATTTTGTCTATTCTACATAATTATTATTAAAAAATAAATAAAAATAACATGTGAAACAGAAATTTTAAAAAAACTTTTAAAAATGGAATAAAAAATTGAGCCTAAAATATTTTTTTAATTTTCCCTCCAAAATATTATAAAAATACACTGTTATTTTTTTACTATATGGTTAAACATTTTACGGAAGCAGAAAAGATTAAAATGGTCTCAAATTATGAAGCTAATATATCAAAACAGGATATTATGATAAAGTGTCCAATAAGTAAATTAAACTTAAATAAGGTTTTAAAGAGATATGCAAACACGAGTAATATAAAACGTAAGAAAGGATCTGGAAGACCAAAAGCTTTCAAAGATTTTCAGATAGATTTAATGAAGAAAAAAATAGAAAAATTTCCAAAAATTGGATCAATAAAAATTACTGAAGAAATTAATAGTGAATTTAACACAAATTATTCTGCCAGAACTATTAGAAATTATCTAAAAACAGTTGATTTGACTGCTTATAGACCTTTAAAGAAACCTCTTCTCAGCAGTAAAAATATTTTTTCTAGATTTCAATATTCGAAAGAACATTTATGGGATTTTGAAGCCTATTGGAAAAAAGTTTTATGGTCAGATGAAACAAAAATAAACCTGTTTGGATCTGATGGTATGGTTTATGTACGCAGACCAAGAGGTTTTAGAGGTAAAGAAAAATTTATGACACCCACGGTAAAACATGGAAAAGGAAGTATTATGATATGGGGATGTTTTTCATATGAAGGAGTAGGGAGAATTGAAATTATAAAAGGTAATATGACAGCATTGTATTACACTAAAATTTTGAATAGGAATTTATTTAAATCAGTAGATGAATTAAGTATTAGTGATAACTATATTTTCCAGCAAGACAACGATCCTAAGCATAAAGCTGTTTTAACCAATGAATTTTTTGATAAAAATAATG